CCCGGCATGTCTCCCTCCACCATTTCAAAATCAAATCAGGCTTTGATGTCTTTGTAGAGCACTTCCCTTATATTTACCAAACTGTCTATAAATCAGTGGCAGTCTTCCTCCCTCATCCGCTGCACGCTGTCCCTCTGATCTATGACGCATGCTTTTTTTACGGCAACTCTTCTTCCCTGTGTTTTAATTTTCAATGTTGTTGTTGTTTATGTGTGGCTGGATATTGTTGTGATCCATCATTGTGCAGTGCTGCTGTACAGGGAAGCAAATCATGAAGAAAGTGTTCATTTAACACATTTATTTCTCATTCATTCCCAATCTGATTTGGATAATAATATTATTTGATGTTTATTTTCCTGTCATTTCTTAATTTTTTATTTAATTTTGTAATATTTATAAAAAAATTTTTTTTCAAAATGTCTGTTATGTGTATTCTGAATCACGCCCCTGATCTCTCCCTCTCCTCCTCTCTGCTGCCCCCCGGTGGTCCCCCCTCTCAGGTGCCCCTCAGTTCTACAGCATGAACCGCCCCGCGCAGCCCCCCATGCCAAACTCTCAGGTGGGGGGCTCTCTGCCGTTCCGCCGCCCCTCCTCCGTCACCGGGCAGCCCAACATGTCCCAGAGCCAGCTCAACGGGGGGCCGCACTTCGCCCAGACCCCAGGTACCGCTGACATGTGTGAGCAAAAAGAGACGGGTATATATCCATAAAGCTTCTGGTAGCTAAGTTATGAACTTTTAATCATTTGAATTTGCCCTTTCCCTGAAGTATAACCATGTAGTTACACAACAGCAATAAAGGTAAACAAATATAAGTGAGTGGACGAAACCCAACACAAATAAGTAAATAACCAAATCATTCACTTTATTGAACTGTGTATCAAATTGAACAATCCTCCTAGATATTATAGCATATTATTACATGGCTTAGTTGAATACTCGATTCTGATTGGTCAATTCAGAACACGTGACACGTTGTTAATACCGAACAGACAGACCGCTGTCAAGGACTTATTGACCGTTGTTAAGGACGCTCACATCTGCGCAAACAAGTCCGTTCGATTTAACTGTATACAGTTTGGCCGAAAAGCAAACTGCGTGCAGTTTGCTTTTCTAACTGACAAGACAAGAGCGACAAGAAAACAGCGGAGAAGTAACGGGCAAAAATCCTCCTTTTTGCGCAACGATCCAGACATAGACATGAAACGGCGACACATATTCAGTTGCCAGTTACTTTGGCATTAGGGCAGGGATATCTAGATACTTCCCAAGGTTTGACATAATGAATTGTGCTACTTTTAAAGCAAGCAGCAATGTTTTCAAATCTGTAATCAAAAAAACTCCTCAAACGCTATCAAAGCAGTTCCTGCCGTTGCTACGTTAGTTCAAACAGTAACAACGGACTATTTTTCTTAGCGGATGCATGTCAATTTAAATCAATACAACTATTTTTAAAATCAATAAAATCATTTTTATAAATCCATAAAAGCATTTCAATTAATAGTGGGAGTCATAACGTTACTTTGTTGAGAATGTGGCCGTGTAATAAGCGGGATAATGTGCACAGAAAACCGATCTAGATCCCTAGATCGGCTTCGCGTCGGGCTCCTGATCAGCCTGTCGGTGTTCTTTTCCCCATAATGACCGCGTCGCAGCACATTATCCCTTACTTAGAACCTGTCTATCTTGAAAAAGCTATGAAAAATGTATTCTAACTATCAGACAGAACACAGTCACGTGACAAACCGTTATTGACATTTAGAAATTGGGATGAATACACAAAGTAGCTGGTGTTTTTAAAACTCAATTTCATACTAAGATACGTGAACTACAGTACGTACTGCACAGCGTGTGATCATCCCTAAAGGAGATGATTTCCCAAAATGTAACAAACTAATAATGGCTAACGTTAGTAAATGAGCATTTTCCAGCTTCCTGTTGATTTCAGAGGACGTTGACCCTCAGACTTGTGGTGCTTTGTGTTTTCACTTCATCTCTTCACGGCCTCTCTATCGTTACGACTCTTTCTTAACCTCCACCTGTTCTCCTCCATTTGTCTGTTTCTTTAATACTCCTACAGGTGGGAAGAAAAAGACACCATGATGAATCTAAAGATCATGCTCAATGTTGATTGACTATTTCTAACCTCTTTGCTTCTGTCTGCCGTTCTTCTTCCTCTCTCTCTGTACTGACACTGTCCGGTGATAGCAGGCCCGCTCGCACCCCCTCCCCCCTCCATGCAGATCACCCCCCAGCTGCCTCTGATGGGCTTTGTGGCCCGAGTACAGGAGACCAGTAAGTGGCTCTGAGCCCCTCAAACCCCCCTCCCCCCCCCCTCCTGCATGACCAACTTGTTTAAAAATCTTCTCCTAAACAGTCAGTGGGTTCCCCTTTTTGGGGGGGGGGATATCTCCCTATGAATGTAAACGAGTGACCAACCTCCAGCGTCATCCGCTGCCACAACATGTAGGTGTCCATCCTGGAATATCGCAGATTAATCATTTACTTATTTTATGTAATGTTTGCGTTTTTTGACATTATTAAATCCACTTTCTTCTACTCCGCTACCAAATATTTGTACAGTTCTCATATTTGCATTTATTGCTTCAACAAATCATGGCCACCTCCTGTTTAAGATACTATTTGTTTTATTTTTACTTGCTAAATTAGATTTTAAAAAAAAACTTGGTATCACAAAAATATATTGGTTTTTAAGGATGTTTTTGTTAAATAGATTTATAGAAAAACATAGGGGGACATGACTTATTTTATCTTTGGCAGTAAATGTTGGTGGCTAACCACAGATATGAAGCGTTGCATGAGCATGGTGGAAATCCAGTGCATGTATTCTGTGCGTCTTGTCTCTGATTTCTCTTGGGAACCCCTTTGCATTTCCTTCAAGTGCACGTTGGTTCAGTGTGTGCATGAGTAAATACAGAAAGCAGTTTAAAAGCATCCAGCATGAACTGTGCACGGTAGATCGCTGTCCCTTCCTCTGTGTGCTCTCTTCACCTCTAACTGTCTCTCTTTATTTTCTAACTACTTTCTAGTCTCAGACGCGCCGCCTCCACCTCCCCCTGCCGAGGATCCGGTGTTCGAAGAACCCACCCCCCCGCCTCCTCCACCGCCGGAAGAGTACGAAGACGAGGAGGAGGAGGAGGATGAAGAGGAGTCAGCGGTGGTGGAGTACAGCGACCCGTACGCTGAGGAGGACCCCCCGTGGGCCCCCCGCACCTACGACGAGAAAGGTCTGAACACGCCACCCAATACTAAGAGAAACATCCACACTCAAACACACGTTAAGGCTGCTCGGGTCCCCAAATCATTTTATACAAATTGGACCTGACATACCAGGTATATAGATATACTTTTTAGAGTTACTTGGTTATAAACAGTGTTTCGCTACACAGTAAGTTTACCTAGGTAGGTGGTGGTCCCACAGTACAGGACAGATGGTCAAGTCAAAGTCAACTTTATTGTCAATCTTTCAGTTTGTGTGTACAGACAGAGATCGAAACAGTTTCCCACAATCCCGAATACAAAAACAAATATAAAAGTGTGTGTGTGAAAAATCAAAGACACATTTAGGCATACATTAAGACCTAAACAAAAGCACAACAATAATGCATGTAGGCTAACATATTAAATACTGGTAATCATATCATAAAGTGAAATGTGAACACCGCCATGGCAAAACATGAGGAAGCGGCTTTATAAAAGTGAAGATTTTTAAGTTGGAAGGTAGAGAAACATGCATTTTTCTCACATTTACACCTAAATCATGTTTTAATATCATTGTATTATATTCCCCTGCAGTGGTGGCCATCTACGACTACGCCCGGGACAAAGAGGACGAGCTGTCGTTCCAGGAGGGCTCCATCATCTACGTGATCAAGAAGAACGACGACGGCTGGTACGAGGGCGTGATGAACGGCACCACAGGCCTCTTCCCCGGAAACTACGTGGAGTCCATCATGCACTACGCCGACTGAACAATCCCCCCTCTGTCGAGACGGGAGGAGAGGAGCGGGTGGATGAGAAGGGGGAGGGGAGACGTGGGTTAAAGGTCAAAGACTTTGAACAGACAGAGCATGATGACCTCCGGACGGGAAGAGGAGACGAAGAAGGGCGAACTGACAGTCCTTCTCATAGGCGCCATTGTAAAACAACCACTACTCTAGATATTCCCTTTCTTTTGTTTGACTCAATAAGGACTGGACGCCGTGTTGTATTCCGAGAGTTTTGCGTTACATTACGAGGCCACTCACTACATTGATTTTGCTTCGTTTTACCATTTTGCCCTTATTTGAAAGTATATTTATTTGGTTTTTGTAGTGGGTTATACAGTAGAGGGAGAGGGACTAAAGGCTGGAGGAGAATGCCTTCATGTGTAGATTTAGTTCTCCTTCCTAAAGAGACATCTTTAGGAACTATACTCTATATGTAGGTATAATGCAACAACGATATCCTCGGTGGTGGGGGGGGAGGAGAACTGTAGATTCCGTACTTGACTAAATGTTGAGGTACCTCTTGCGGAGAGCGTGCCAAAGCTGACATCCACTAGGAAAAAGCACATCACATGTCTTAAGATTTAAAGTGGGGAAAAAAAGAGGTCTGAGAGGAAGCCCCAAGAGTGCTTTCAACCCTGATATTCTGCGTCGAATGACAGCGTGCTTTCGTTTCAGCGACGGACGATGTGCATTTGAGAGGAAGCCATTTTGTTTTTTTGCCGTTTTTAACCGGGGTCCAGACTTTGCTTGCAGAGCGGCAGACTGCATGTTTCCACGAGGAGAAAAAAAAAAGTCTTTTGTTTTCTGCTCGGATTAATGTCTTAATATTTTTAGATATGGTGTGGTTTGGTTTTTTTGATATTTCACCCACGATGCATTTGGGGTCATTTCCAAGACGCTTGTGCCATATTGAAGTGCGTGTTGCTGTCCATCACTTCATTCGCAATAAATTGGCCGGAGTGGGGTGGTACTACAAATCTTATTTTCTCTTCCCCCGAGTTGTTTTAAATCAAAAAGCACATACATTTGTAGTGAAAAGGTATAGAAGAAGAAATAATATATATGTGAGATGTATTACGTCCTCAAAAACAGGACTTATTGAATATATAAAGATGCCAGCTGTTGTGTTGAAATGGTTTTAAGCCCCCCTTAACGCCTTCAGTTTAGGCGTCCGCCGTAAAGTTGGGTGTTTGCGAGGGCTCAGTGCTTGTACTTATGTCAGAATCTTTATTTTCTATTAAAAAAAAAAACAACAAATAATAACAAGTGGGTCTGTATGTGAGTCTTGCATGCCATTGTATCTGTACTGGTGTCCCAAAAACCTACGTGGCGAGATCACCCGTTGTTTAAAAAGACAAGCATCTCTGACCCGGAAACACCAGCCTCATCCAAAGAGACTGTGGGAGGGAGGGACGAGACTTTCTCCCCCCCCCTCCCTGTCAGTGGTGAAAAATCCTGTTTTTAAAGCTGCTAGTGAATCCTGCGGACAGATCTAATGTAACACTCCGGATTGACTTCCATAACACTCCCAGGCTGACACTAAAAAGAAAACATTGAAATCAAAAAATAACAAGGTGCGGTGGGTCTGCAGGATTCACAGC